GTTGTATTTTGTGTATGAACAGGGCGATTCTGTCTCAAAACCTCAAATCCCAGTTTCAATGTGTTATGAAAGAGCTAAATTTCAAAAACTAAGTTAAAATGAAGAATTACCGAACTGTTGTGCCACAAACCGTTCGACGAGGTCCGTCAAGGCAAAACAGACTTTAAACATTGGGCCATGATTAGAATTTAATCATGAGCCGCCGTGGAGGGGTGGCGCGGAAGATGCTTTCTGGCGACGGATAGAACGACTAATCCCAATTATAATCCAAAGGTCCACAACAGATGCCACTGAGTGCATTGGGGGATCATCCTTCTTTTTTTTCCACCGCCCCCTTCCATACAACTGAGGGGTTTCATTATTTTTGGCCTCTGGAACCGGAATTACCGGTCGACTAAATATCTTTGGGAGATGATCGCAGAATAGTGAACGCCTTTAGATGTTTTCCGCCTGGAGTTAACACGTAATTGATGAACACAGGCGTAAGTCGAGGAAAAATAGGCAAAAATTGTTAATGTAAAGATATAAAAAACTAAGACATACACACAAACGTCCATTGAACTCTCACCAAAAACATCAAACATAGACAAATTCGCAATAAGCACTCATCCACAAAACATCGAACTCTTGTCTAAAAAACAACACACAAAACAGAGTGATACTCTCTCACTCACTCTCTCTCTCTCTCCCTCTCTCTCTTTATCTATCTATCCCTCCCTACCGCCGTCTCTCACTCACTCGCTCTTTCAATCACCCACTCACTTTATATATCTCTCAATTTTATCTAAATCCAATCAATTGTCAATTCTTAATCTGCATACGTTTATTTATCTATCTTACGTCTCTTTTTTCTCTCACTCACACACCCTCGCTCTCTCTATACTCCCTCTCCCTCTCTCTCTGAATCATTCACTCATTCACTTTACATGTCTATCTATTCGATCTATATCCAATCAATTATTTCTTCTTAATCTACATATGTATTTATCTGTATCTCACCATTTCTTTTTTCTCTCACTCCCTCACTTGCTCTCTCCCCCTCTCTCCCATTCTCCCTCCTTCCCACATTCTCTCTTTCAATCACTCACCTTATATGTCTATCTATTTTATCTATCACCAATCAATTATCACTTCTTAATTTACATATGTGTTTTATCTGTATCACTTTTTCTCTCACTCACACAATCTCTCTCTCTCTCTCTCTTTCTCTCACTTACTCTTCCTCTTATTTCTTCCTATTATTTCCATTTTTCTCTCACTCGCACATTCTATATCTATCGCTCAATCTTTCACTCACTTTGTACACCTATCGAGCTGTCTATTTATCTACTGTATATCCAACTCATTCTTAATCTATCAATCTGTGTCTCTATATACTTATCTTATTAATTCTCAGTTACTCCCCTCTTTCCTAACCACTCTCCCTCACCCCCTCCCTTACTCTCTTTTTAAATCACTCACTCAGTCACAACCATTTCTTTTCTTCTCTCACTCACACAATCTCTCTCCCTTTCTCTCTCTTCCCCCCTCTCTCACTTACTCTTTCTCTTCTTTCTTATTTCTATTTTTCTCTCACTCACATATTCTATTTCCATCATTCGATCTTTCACACACTTTGTATATCTATCTATCTGTCTATTTATCTATATCCAACTACATATATATATTTTGTTAATTCTCAGTTACTCCCCTCTTTGCCACTGACACGCGCACACACCCACGCTAGATTCACTCACACCGGTCTAAATCCTATTCTTCCTAATTCCTTCCACCTCTATACTTGATCACTCTCTCTTTCTCTCTCTCTCTCTCTTTATCCCTCACCGTATCTATTTATCTGTTTGTCTGTCTATCTATCTATCTGATCAAGTAATATCTCTTTCTCCCTATCTGTATCTGTTTGTTTTTTGTAATTTATTTATTACTACCTGTATTAATAAAATATAAATCTCGTAATTTGAGGTTATTTACATTTATACACTGTATATCATGTCTTAAGCGAGTCCCCAACCATTGTCAGTCTCCCATCTGTATCTGTATGTCACTAACTCTCAAACACTCCTCTCTCTCTCTCTCTCTCTCTCTCTCTCTCTCTCTCTCTCCCCCTTTCTCTCTCTCTCTCTCTTTCTCTCTTTCTATCTTTCTTTCGTTCACTGACTCACTCTATTAATTTATCTATCTACGTCTATCTGTCTCTCTAACCACCTAATATCTCTTTCTCACCTATCTGTTTCTAGCCAAAAATCAATCACTCACACACTTTCACTCACTTCAATGCAAATATTTATATGTCCATGTAACCCATTATGTTTTTCACAATCCATCTGTCTCTATGTATCTATATTTAACCTCTTAATCAGTCTCCTCTCGCTCCCGAATGCGCTCACTCGTGTCTGCTTCTTTTCTTCATAATTTATTCCACCTTTCTACTTGCTCTCTGTCCTTCTCCCTTTTACTCTTAATCTCGTTATCGATCTATCTCTATTTATCTATATGTTTTTCTTTTTTCTCTCTCTATTTATCTATTATTGTATCACTATATGTCTCACACACTCTCTACAGGATATACGCATATTCAAAATTATACCATCACAGTCTGGAAAACGTAAATTGTTCTATTCTTCAAATCCACAGTAAAATAGTATTGCAACTCATAACTACGTCTTTCAGAAATTAAATCAAAATTTACTGGACCAAATAGAGAGAATTTTCGCTGTTCGACCATGACTTAATTTCGACATAGGAAAAAACGGACAGAAATTTTGCAAAAACGATGTTAGGGGACGTTTTCACAGGGTACCGGTTGCAAAGATCGGAAAAAGTAGATTTTCTTCCAGAAAACAAAGAACGCTCAGGAAGGTCACCGATGATGAAAGACAACAGGCGAATTGTAGGTTCGAATCGAAAACGAACCGCTGGGATATAACGGAGACGGTCACCCTGTTAAAACCAGTTCCGGCCAATGGGAAATAATTTTAAGAAAACAACACTTCGGGCAGGTATGTAAAAAATTCAGAAACGAAAGAGAACGCAGTAAAATTTTAATTATCCGTTTATAATATTTGATATAAATGGACGTTTCGTTGCCCGGAAACTGCCTATTTCGTGTAGAATACAGATAGAAAGCTAAGACTGAGAAGAAAACGAAACAAATTTACTTAAATAAGTATGTATTTAGTTATAGGAATGTTTTTAAATACAACGAAACGTTTAATAGAAAGTAATTTAAAATGGTGCAAAGAAAATAATAATACCAAAGCCAGTAAGAAAACAGAACTGTTTACTAAACAATATTTGTCTTTTAAAAAAAACAACAACGCGATTATCAAACAAATCCCATCATGGAAATTCAAAATCCTTCAGTTTATAAACAAATTCTAAGAGATTTAGATAGAAACAATCCATAAATATTGCGATCCGCTTTTCTTTTTTTTTTTGACAGAGGAATCCGACAGCTTGGTCATTTCAGCTCCGAAACCCTAGCGAAATACCGCTATACATTCGATACACAATCACACTAATAAATACATTCATACTTAACATGTATACATTGATCGGACCCATACTGTTTGGTGGATAGAGTGCTCTATATTCCTCCATCTACCTGTTCACTACAATAAACTACTCTAATTTGGAGTCGGTGGGGTACTTTAAAAGTTTTCCGCTGTCACGCACGCAATAAGTCACGCACGCAACATGAAGGGCGATGGAGATGCTACGTCACCCTCAGCCCCTCCCGATTCACGCTAATAAGTACATTCACACCAACATACATTGATTGCACTCATTCTGTTTGGTAGATGGAGTACTTGATACTACTCCATCTACATGTTTCCTATAATAAACTCATCTAAACTGGGGTCGATGGGTATTTTTATAAAATTTCCGCCATCCACAACCTGAGAGGCAATTAAGAAGCTACTTCGCCATCAGCCCCTCCCTATTCACACCAATAAATATATTCACTCATACAAAACACATAACTTAACATGCAACTATACAATAAAAAATTCCCAATTCCCTTAAAAAGAGGAATGGGGGACCCTGAAACTCGCTAGACTGTCAGAGAACCCTCTTTAAATCTGGCAGCATGCCTACTCGCCCCTGTAGGGAGCCTTTTTGTGTTATTCTTGAAAAAAATGGTTGTACGTATCCACTGGAATGTGAAATGAGTGAATTTAGCTGATGTTTATCGACATAATTTCAATTAGGCATACCTTAAAAGGATAAAATAAACCTGTTAAGTTGGTGTAAATAAAGCATCGCCCTGAGCGATTAAAAAAGCATACTAATCTAAAGCATGACAAGACTTTAAACAGTACTTTTATTTATTATTTCATTCGTCAATTCTTAACGATTCACTCTAATCCAACAGTCGACAGGCGATACGTTCTGAAGCGTGTAAGTTATTTTACGGGCGCAATTACGACTGGTACCCTTTAATCATCTATCAGGCCGAAATATTCTTCGAAGAATGATGGTTGTAACCAGATTTCTGCTTCCAGGAAGGGCAATCATTTTTATGAAAGTACCACGGATAATTGGATCCGTCAGGAAACAATTACAACTATTATAAAAGTATTGGAACAAGGAGACCCTAAGCTCAGCCGTTTAATATTTATTCAGGTATTTCCTTATTAAAAAAAAAATGCTTTCTTAGGTGGGAAATGTATTTTTGCCAAAATCCACTGTTATTTTCGATCAGTTTCAAAATTACGACGTTTGTACTTTTCAAGCTCTGACGGATTCACTGCCACTGCGGAAACTAACATCTGAGTTTCTCGGATGTGATTCACTTTGGCGAGAAAATACGTGTCATATTTCGAGAGTGAAGAGAAAGTCGCGAAATGGGTTTCGTGAGGAATGCCAGCTTTCCGGGATGACGTCCCGCCCGGGAGCCCACCGGGAAGGTCAATATCAATAATTACTGCCTTAATTACCCCTCGGATAGACAGTTTTTTTTACGTAATATTCGTGAAAGTGCGATTTTCGACACTCACCTGCACACGGAGACGTCGGTTCCTCCTCTTGGTCCTGGGCGGGAGGCCGGTACTGGAGGAGTATCCTGTACTCGTTCCAATAGTCCTGGAACTCCCTGTTGTCCTCGAGCGCTTCCATGGCGTTTCTGGAAAAAAAGATCAGACATTTAACACAAAATGTTTTAGAAAGAAAAGAAAATTCACGCATGTTAAGAACCGTGAAGAAACAAGAAAATCACTCGCTATTTTAAAACAATCTTGACATTCTCTGCGGTTTATTTACCTCTTTTGTTCAAGTTGGAAAATATACTGGGCTCTTTAAAATAAAAACTAGGCCAATAAATTTCATCCGACATTGTAAACAGTCAAGCGAGTCATACTGCGTTAAAATATGAGAAACTATATGTGTCATTCCACACATAATTTCACAACCAGAAAGGCAGATTTGTTTGTCAACCAAAAAACCGCCTTTAACGAAAAAATAAAATAAATCCTCACAGATTAAATACAACACGAATGGATTTAGCCGCGTACGAATGTTTAACATCACACATGTCGATTAATCAAGATTACCAAACATAAAAAAAAACATCATTCTAAATTGGAAATAATTCAAATGCAAATTAGAAGGACAATCACGAAATTTATATATTTATTTGTTTATAATTCAAGGGTGCATATTTTATCAACGGAGTAGAAAGTACAATATTAACTTCTTTGTTTTTTTCTCAAGAAAAAATCTGAGAATTATTTTAGCTAGTTATATTTTACCGAATACTAGGGGTGAAAATTGATTTACTACTTTCGACTTTTTTTGGTGAAAAAGGTGCTTATTTACAATTTCATATTATCTTTCAGACTAACAAAATATAGATACAATACACTCTCACTCCCTCTTTCTCTCCCTCCCTCTACACTACTCACTCACACACTCTCCTTATCTATCTATTGGTATTTGTGTGTGTATAATTCTCAATCATACTTCTTTCACTGACTCACTCACTCTCTTTCTTTCTCTTCTCTCTCTCTCTCTTTCTGTCACTCAATTCTCACACTCTATCACTCACGACATATCTCTTAATCTCCTCTCCACCTATTCTCTTTCTGTCACTCTTTTCTTTCTCACCCTCTCTTTGATGCTCTTCTCTGTCTCTTTATCTGCTACTTACAGGGATAAGGAGAGTGTGCCTTATCTATCTATTGGTATGTATTTGTGATTAATTCTCAATCACTTTTCTTTCACCCTCACTGACTCTCTCTCTTTCTTTCTGTTACTCACAAACTCACAAATTTCTCTCTCCCCTCCTCTCTCTTTCTTTCTCTTCTCCCTCTCTTTCTATCACTCATCTCACACACTTTTTCTCATTCACCCATATTTTCTCTCACTCTCTCCTTTTTTAACTATTTCACCTCTTTATTTATTTATTTCCTCCTCTCTCTCTGTTTTTCGGTTTCTCCACGCTCTCACACACACGGCAGCAACAAAACACCATCGCTAATTAACAAACATTTGCTTAGTATTTCTGTATTTTTTTCAATCTCTGACACTTATTCGCTCTCTCTCTCTCTCTCTCTCTCTCTCTCCCTCTCTCTCTCTCTTTCTCTCTTTCCTCTGGTCAACTGTAAGAGGGGTCGTTCGTGACATAAATTTGTGATTTTTTTAAAATAAAACGATATTCATTCACTCTCTCTCTCCCTCTCTCTCTTTCTCTCTTTCCTCTGGTCAACTGTAAGAGGGGTCGTTCGTGACATAAATTTGTGATTTTTTTAAAATAAAACGATATTCATTCACTCTCTCTCTCTCTCTCTCTCTCTCTCTCTCTCTCTCTCTCTCTCTCTCGTGGTATATTTCTGAAATATTTCATTTCACATATTCCTAATATTAGTGATTTGGAGATACGTTTTATGTAGATAAATTGTTAGGTTTACTTTAAGGAAAGTTGTATTTCTGTGTGCTTTATTTGTTCTATTATTTCATATCTGGAGTTATTTCGAGAACTTTATTTTCATAATGTGTGTGTGTGTGTTTATATAGATATAAGTAATGCGATTTTTTAAGTCAATTCAAAGATTATTTCATAATTTTACATGTATTTGTTTTATCTATTCTCTTACGAGATAATATTTCTCGGATTCATTGCGAAAAGGAATATCTCTTTTAGAAAAAGAGTATATTTTGCTGGGTTGTTTTCTCAATCAATGCTGATCAAAGTCTACAAGAAAAACTAGATATTTCTTTATAGCCAAATTTATAAATGAAACCAAAACCTAATCAATTTGGCCCGTTGAAACGTGCCTGCGTTTCCTCGTACTGTGCTGTCCCATTGTGGTCAAAAAACTTCCTTATATATTTTTTTCTTTTTTTATGACAGGTAGTACAATCAAAGAACAAACGTTAAATTCTATTTGTTATCAATCTTTGCAAAAAAAAAAAAAAATTGTAGGTCAAATTTAAGCGTATTATGCTGTTGGTTCAGTCAGGTTAAAGATAACGCGAGTATTAACAAACAATGTAGTTTTTAAAATGTTTAAGTTTTGTTTGTAAGTTGTTATCTTTCAAAAGTGTGTTAAGGACGAGGGAATTTGTTCTTAATGAAGTGCGAAAATGATACGCCTCTAAGTTCAGTCAGTCTTCGTACGTGAACTACAAAAATATTAATTCATGGCCGAATGCAAAGAAATACAAAGTAAAGTCGTAACAAACAAAGGGACGACCAGGTTAGTGTTACACGGATTTGGTCCAAACTTTTTTTTATGATTCTACACTTCAAAATATCGGATCCGCCATTTCGTGAGAATAGGCCCTGGTTTCGCCAAAAACTTATTGAAACTTGAAATTTACGTTTTTTAATATTTTAATTTATGCACTATAATTATATAATATATTGTTATATTGATCAGCAAAACTCCCCAGCACATTCTCATCAAAATTCAAAATTTTGAAACAGGAGGGACCAAATATGATTCTGGTTGAACGAATTTATTTGTTTATTTATATTGTATAAATATATTATATTAATAAAAATTATAAGCATTAGATACATTTAATTAAATGAGCATAAATTGTTATTTAATATTTTAATATTTTCAAAAAAATATTTTTGGTCTAATAATTTGAACGAATTTAATGTATTTATTTTTATTGTACAAATATATTATATTAATACAAATATAAGAATTAGGTACATTTATTTAAATGAGCATAAAACAAAAATGTTCTATGACTATAAATTTGGTATGATTTAAAAAGATAAATCAACAAAATGCTGGATTTTTTTTTCATATTTTAACAAACATTCTATGAACAAAGTAGGTCAGAAAATGGTCAAAACTGGGATTTGACCTCATTGTCATGATTCTAGCGTTATAAAACCATTAGATGCCGACTTTCGCGGAAATCTGTGCAAATTATTTTTTTAGCTGATAATTCGACGACCACTAACATTCCTAAAGCGTGACTATCACATTCCTAGTGCAAGCTTCAAAACATGATTTTTCTCAAAACCAAGGGGACCGATTTTAATGATTGATAATTCTTTTTAAAGGAATTGCCAAGTGCATTTTATAACAGTATCAAACATTAAAATCGGAGTATTTTTTCCATTAAAACAAATGAGGTTCATTTTTGAGAAATAACATTCCTATTTTGAGTATTTTTTAATAGAAATATTTTATATTTTTTATGGTACATAGGCCGTTAAAAAGCTAAGTTCCTCTTCTTTCAAATGTCATGTTTGAACTTAAAATCCTTTTAGCCATTTTTGAATTATAGCCGCTTCAATCAGATATTCCGATAACGACTTCATAAAAATCGGATAAAAGTTTAAATTCAAAACAAAATTTATATTTAGAGATCTCTAGAAACGCTAAAACAAATTCCATGAAGTAAATTTTTTATGATCCAGTTTATGATGTTAGAAATAAATTTGGTTTTTTGAAATTTTTTGGTTATTGATAAACTTTGATAGATTTTACTATATTTTTATTCATCTTTTTTCTTAAAATCCACGGTTTTTAGTAATTATTATCCAAAAGGTTGAAAAATCCCAAATTATCCGTCGTTGAAATATTTCATTTATTTTGTCTATTATATCTACGTTTCGGGCTTAAGGGCCCATCATCAGGACCTAAACATGGAAAACCTCATGGTACAATTGCCATCCGAAGATACACACATAAGTAATTTAAGAAAAAAAATATATTGATGAGGTTTTCCATGTTTAGGTTCTGATGATGGGCCGTAAACCTGAAACGTTCATGTAATAGGCAAAATAAATAAAATATTTCAACCACGGATAACTTGGGATTTTTCAACCTTTTGGATAATATATTTTTATTGCAATTTACATTAAAAAATGATGTAAAATTATATCTTCATACAGTTGAATTGAGCGAATAGGACAGCGAAATAAAATTATTAAAAAACGTCTACATTCAACTACATTCATAAAAAAAATGGCGAAACTAGTGCCTATTCACAAGAAGTAGCGGATACGAATCCGATATTTTGGAATATAGAATCACTAAAAAAAGCTAGCTCCAAATCCGAGACACATCAACTTGGTTGTCCCATGTAAGGCATGTTGGTAGGACTTGGCCGAATGACGTTTTCCTCTGATTATATAATTGAATTGTTTATATCAAGGGTGTAGTCGAATTTAAAGAATGACGCTTTGGTCGAAAAATAGCGTCGTAAATATCGCAAATCGAATCAGGTGAAAGACATTTGAAAAGAAGAGAAAAAAAACCACATGCCAGAGGGGGATAATCTGTGTCGTATCCTTGGTTTGAGAAGAACCGGTTTGCGAATGTTGACAAGTTAGCCGTCCTTGGGGGCCCACCTTCCCAACTCACGCCTAAGATTCTTTTTTTTCTCTCTATCTACCGACGCAGATATAATAAATGTCCATTTATTTTATAACTGTTTAGTATAATATACCAATTAATATTAGTACCTTTTTGAATAGAAATGTCAATAAAGGTCGAAGACCGAACTGTACGAGAGCGAAAATGTCAAGAAACAACGTGTTTCCATTCGAACTTCTTAGGACCGCACGCTATCACCACGGATAAAACTGGCACATATACCTACACAGTAAACGAGCCGTGGAGGACATGGAAAAAAGAACAACTAACTTATGTAAAT